TCTCTGGGGGCCTAAGGGACCCTCTCCTGTTTCAGCCAGAGCAGTTCCACAGATTGGAATTCTTCACATAATTATTTGGAAATAATTTAAATTTTAAAAAAATCAAAAACCACCGATGGCTTTAAATGAATCATAAATTTTAATACAAATATCAAATGTGACTAGAGGTATTAGTGTATTATACTTAATGTGGTCCAATAGACTTAACCCCCAGTGACAAGAGGTCCAGCAGGAGGCTCCCCAGTGCCCACAGTGTCACTGGCACGGCAGAAATCATTTGTGTCCTGGGCACTTCCTCAGCGTTTGGGTCCCAGGTTACAAAGGTCTCCTCTGATTGTAAGCGGAGGGGGCGTACTTCCCGCCCCGAGGGGACTCTGTGGCCAGGCCTCTTTAACGGAGCCCGGCACCTCCTCCTGGGCTTCTGGCCTCTGCTGCAGCGTGTTCTCACCAGCGCACGACATTCCGCCCCTGGCCACCGTCCAGGGCGCACAGAGGCCGAGCAGGAGCCAGGCCAGGGAAAACAGCCCGGCGTCCAAGGAGGTCCATGTCCCCGCTGGCCGGGGCAGGGCGGACGGGCAGAGGGAGGAAGGGACGACGGGACCCCAGCTCCTCCGGGTTCATCATGGCAATCCTTCAGCCTCCCCGACCCCTTCCCTTTCTGGAAGCCCCGGGACACAGGCCTGACCGTGAGCCCCTTTCTCCTGATGAGGTCCCTGAGGCTCCAAGGTGTGTGTGTGTGTGTGTGTGTGTGTGTGTGTGTGTGTGTGTGCGCGCGCGCGCGCGCGCGCGCGCATACAAGCTCAAAAAAGGAAAAAAAGAAGGCACCCAGGCCTTGCCTTGCTGGAGGGTCTGGTCCAGAAGCCAATTGGCATTGACTCCTCCCTGTAGCTAATTCTGCGGCCTCTGGGCAGGCTCTGAAAGACCAGCAGCTCAAGGATGAGCTGTATCTGGGCAGCAGTGTCTCGGGGTCACCCCACCCGTGTGGCAGGGGCGGCTGCAGAGGCTCATGGAGGAGGGAAGTTCCCACAAGCCCACAACAGCCCATGGCTGAGCCGGGCCAAGAACACGAGGTCCAGTGTGTTTTCTGCCGTCACGCGTTGAGCTCAGCGCCATGGGACCCCTCTCCGATCGGGAGGCCTGGCTGACTCAGGGGCCGTTGGGCGGTGGAGCCGGGCGGGGTTCTGTCCAGATGTGAGAGATTAGAGCTGTGCGCCGTGGAGAGCCGCTCAGGCCAGCCTTCTCCCCGGATGGGTTTGGAGCCAAGCGAGATCTCATCACAGACACATACAGAGCAGTGGGTGTCAGGCCAATGGGAGGAGCATGTCCGTGCCGAGCTGGCAGAGCCCCACTTGCCCCCAGGGTCACGCTGCTTCCTCTCGGCCTAAGCTGGGGGAGGGGAGGGGAGGAGAGGGCCTGGGAGAGGGCAGGCGAGGCTCAGGGGAAATTTGGCCAAAGGACCCGGGGCAGACCTGCACAGGGCGGATGGGTCAGCCACCCCTTCCCTGACAGCCCTCCCCCCGAGAGGATCAGCGCCTCCTGCCCCTCCAAGTCCTTCCACTCCAGCCTGAGCAGCCCCGTTCCTCCCGCTGAGATAAATGAATCCAAATGTGGGTCCCTGCAACCTGGCGCGCCCAGGCCTCCTAGGGCACGGGGCCCAGACGGAGCACAGCCCTTCAGGCGGGGTCTCAGACCACCCCTCCGTCATCCTGAACATTTCCCACCGACGCATGCCGCCCTCTGTGGCTTCTGTGTTTTACTTAGCTCTATCAGACAACTGGCTTTTCTTATGGAAAATTTCAAACCACACACACACACACACACACACACACACGCATGCACACGCAGAAGAGTGCTGTGAATTCCCAGGTCCCCATCACCCAATTTCAACAATCACTAATCTTGTTTGCTCTGTGTTCCCACCCATGCCTCCTCCACGCCCAGGCCTGGGTTATTTTGAAATAAATCCAAGACATCCTAGCATTTCATCTGTAAATATTTTAGTGTAGATCTCAGAAAGCGTCCCTTTAAAACAGTAACCAGAGCTCCATTCTAACACACACACCCCCAAGGCAACAAGAAGCCCATTGTCTCAGGAGGAGGCTTCTGTGGGTTCTGAGGAGGGGAACAGTGGAGTGGGGGATGTAAGACACACATTGTTCCCCACAAAAGATGCCCAGAGTGGAAGGAAGTTTTGTCCCCGAGGGGACTCGCGCTGGGGTCCAGAGGGAGATGGAGCCAGAGGATCTCAGGGGGACGCCCCGGGGGAGCTCCCAAAGGCCAGCCTGCTGAGGGGGTCAGAGAAGGCCAGTGCTTGGGGTCCAGGCATTTGCTGACCGTGTGACCTCGAGGAAGACACTCAACCTCTCCCGGTGGCATTCTTCACCAGCAAAAGGACTAGCAGCTCCATTCTTACCTCAAACCTGCCGACGTCTGGGCAATTAAATGTCCCCTTGGACAACCTGACCCACACGAGGCCTGGCAGTCCCAGAAGTTTTGCAGGGACACAGACCCCTGGGGTAACCGTACCCCCTCTGCTCCAGGGTCCCGCCCATGGCCACGCCCACATGCGGTCCCTCCGCCCATACCGCCTGTTCCTTCTCTCCCATCAAGGCCTCCAGGCCCTCAGCCCCTCCACCTCCCAATGGCTCTGCTTGTTGGCGCCTTTTCTTCCCAACCCAAGCCAGACCCCAGAGCTCATCACCTCCACCCCTCGCTGGTCCAACCCGCACTTCCTCTGCTCTCCTCTTCTCTTTCCTCTGCTCTCTTCTCTTTCCTCTGCTCTCTTCTCTTTCCTCTGCTCTCTTCTCTTTGTTCTCTGGCCGCACACATCCTGCAGACTCCCAGGGTCCGCTCCATCCGGCCACCGACTCTGCTGCTCTGCACCAGCCTGCGGGCCGCGGGGGCAGGGTGGGGGCAGGGTGGGTGCTTCCAGAGCTGCTCCCCGATGTCAGGCCATCCTGCAGTCCTCCTGCGCGGCCTCCGGTTTCCCTCGCTCCCTCCGGGACCCCCTCTTCACGCAAGCCCTCTACCCAGAGGCATGCTGTCAGTGCTCTCACGGAGCTTCCATTTTAGTGGTTGTTTAACAGCGCACTCACAGAATTCCTGGACACTCACAGCTCTCTCCCCCTTCCTTAACCCCACCCGAGTGGTCAGCAAACAATTCTCCTCTTACTTTACAAAGCGAGCAGAGGCCATCAGGCGGGAACCCGCTCAACTTCCTGGCCCTCTAAGTAGAACCTTTTCACCCATCTTTGCTGTGCGCTGTCTCTCTTCCCTCAAGGGTTGTCCCTACCTGTCATTCCCTCCTCCCTTCTCCTCCCTCCCCTCCCCAAACCACCACCACCCCTTTCTGGATTGCAAGACCTCTCTCAAATGCTTTCCTCCAGCTCTCCTTTCTTGTTCTTCAGGCCCTAAGCCCGGTGTGTTTCTCCAGTGTAAGAAAGCAGAAGGGACAACAATCAACTTTCTCTAGACCTTGTGATCTGTTCTCCTTCCCGCAGTCACAATTCCCGAAAACACTTCCCGGGACCTAGGTTCCTCCTCTGACCTCTCCTTCCCTTTTCATCCCACCGCAGCCTGACCCTGCCCGGCCTCCACCAGCCGCTGGAAGAGCTGGGGTGGGATTTGGCAGTGACGCTCCTGTGGCTGTTTCTCCCTGTTCCTGCTTGGCCTCTGGCTGCTTTGGGCCTCGGTGGCCACTTCCTCTTCCCAAAGGCTCTTTGCTTCTTGTAGTTTCTGGAACAGTTTCCTCCCTCCTGAGTGCCGGGTTCTTCCAGGGTCCAGCCAATTCCGATGGGCCCCAGGCATCTCAGAGCCACCAGCTCTGACACCTGAGCGCAGACTGGGGTCTGAGACTTCCATAGGAGGGGTGGTGGTGCCAAGAAGAGCCAAGGAGGAATTCATGTTGGGGAGAAAAATGATGAATCGGGTTGAGCAGGTTGAACCTCAAATTTTCCACTTACCAGCGGTGTGACATTGGACACCTCATGTCACCCATCTGTGCATACATTTCCTGTGTGAATGTTAAGGATGATGATCGGTAGTTGTGGAATTGACTGAGTTAGTACATGTGTTTAGCACTGTGTGTGCGTGTAAACACTCATGGATGCCAGCTGTTACTAGCTGCTCACAGATGTCAGTGCTACTACTCAAACATCTCCACTCATTTTCTTTTAAAAAAAAATCTATATATCTATATATCTATATATCTGTATATCTATATATATCTATATATCTATATATCTATATATATTGATTTCAGAAATGAAGGGAGAGAGAGAGAGATAGAAGCATCAATAATGAGAGAGAATCATTGATTGGCTGCCTCCTACACACCCCACCCTGGGGATCGAGCCTGCCCCCCGGGCATGTGCCATGACCAAAATTGACCGTGACCTCCTGGTTCATAGGTCGATGCTCAACCATTGAGCCATGCTGGCCAGGCTCTCCACTCATGTTCTTCCTTTCAGTTCCTACTACTACTGCCCCCTTGCCTCACTTCTCACCCTGATCACTGCAAAGACAAATGCTTCCAATCCAGTGTCTGCATTTTAAACATTCATCTATGGCGATGTGACCCTTCTGTTAACCCCCAAACGAGCACCGTGACTGGTTGTTAGGGCCCCTGGCTTGGCATCTGTGACCCGCCTCTCCAGTCCCATCTCCCAGCCGCTCTACCTGCCAGGGCTCGTGCACTGAGCCGTGCTGTGCACGCCTCCCTGTCTGCACACGCCGCTCTCCCTGGTGGACACCTTCCTTGTTCGGGCAGCGCCTCCTTGAGGAAGCCCGCCTGGCTTGTGGGTGAGCCCAGAGACAAGTGAGGGATGGGGACAGCCCCTCTCTTGCCCTGACCTCCCTCCCCCCCCCCCCCCCCCCGAGGCTGCCTCGCTTCTCTCTGTGTGTGAGTGTGCTCAGGGCCCGCCCCACTGAACCCGGCGCTTTACCGGAGTCTCGGGCGTTACCGGAAAACGGCCACAGTGACAGGACTTGTCTTCCCACAGCCGCCGACCCCTCCAGAGGAGACGCAGCTCGGAGCACGGGGTGTGACACACACCTGGCTGTCCTCAGCCGCTTGGACGTCCTAGAGGAGGTAATAAGGGTGACCTGGGAGGACATGCACCTTCGGAACCACCTGTGAGGCTGCTGGCTTTATAGGGCTCAGCCAAGCTTGCTTTGGAAAATTAGGGAAATCCAGGCCAGTCCTGCTCCCTGCCCCACCTAGGCTGTCTGACCAGCTCCCTCCCTACCTGGCTGTCGGGCTGACCAGCTGCAGGGGACCCTGCTGCCCCTGGGACCCAGCCAGAAATCTCTGCAGAATCACCAGGTGAAAAGGTAGAGATTTGATTACTGTGTGTTTTGTTATACAGCCAGTTTGTAACCTGTGGTCCATAAATTTATGTGGAACAAAAATTATACTTTATTTTTAAAAAACCTTAGCATACACATTTATTATAAACTAGAGGTCTGGTGCACAAAATTCATGTTCTTGGGGGAAGGTCTCTCAGCCTGGTCTGCACCCTCTCACAGTCCCTGGAGCCCTCAGTGGATGTCCAACTGCCGGCTTAAGTGGGGAGTGGGCCTAAGCCAGCAGCCGGACATCCTTAGCGCTGCTGCAGAGGCAGGAGAGACTCCCACCACCGCCGCTGTGCTCGCCAGCCATGAGCCCAGCTTCTGGCTGAGCGGCGCTCCCCCTGTGGGAGCACACTGACCACCAGGGGGCAGCTCCTGCACTGAGCATCTGCCTCTTGGTGATCAGTGCACATCATAGCAACCAGTCGTTCCACCATTGGGCCAAAACTGGCTCTCCAATATCCTGGAAGGTCCTGGATTTCGAGAGGGCGCAGGCCAGGCCAAGGGACTCCACTGGTGCACAATCAGGGCTGGGGAGCGGAGGGATGTGGGAGGTTGGCCAGCCAGGGGGGGACTGTGGGAGGGTTCCAGGGAGTGTCAGGCCTGTCTTGCTCAGTCCTGATCAGCTGGACCCCAGCAGCAAGCTACCCTACCGATATGAGCGTCTGCCCCCTGGTGGTCAGTGTATGTCATAGTGAGCAATTGAGCAACCTTATCATGTTTTGATTGGTTGAACTGCTGACTGGACACTTAGCATATTAGGCTTTTATTATATAAGATATAACAAACCATAGTAGTATTATAAGTATCAATAGTACTGTGATTTTTGTCATCAATAGAAATCAGGTAATTTCATCCCCTTACAATTATTTTGAACATCTCAACATATCAGTCAGTTTAATCCCTATGTCAAAATTGCAGTAGTTGTTAGACATTATGGTGGATCATGTTGTTTAGTGAATTAATAAAAACAAATTTTATATAAAAAAATTTAATCCTGAATACTTGAATAATATGTTAATGAAATTAGTGTCCTTGGAATTACTATATGTTTTATTATTTTTTTCAATTAGATCATTTGTCTAAGATGGGGTCTGTAGGTTTCACCAGACTATTAATGGGATTCATTCATGAAAAAAGTTAACAGTGAATAAAGAAAATTTCAAAATCCCAAACTTGTCATTTGGCAGAGTTGCCACCAGGGGGCGAGGCAGCAAAAGGAATGTGAGCTCCCGTGATGAAGTCCTTGAAAGAGACTTGGAATCCTGGTCACTGATCCTATGACAGAGAAAAACCCGTGCCAGGAGCAGCCCCAGAGAGGGGGCCCTAAGATTTTGTCATTTAGGGAACTTGGAGGTGGGCAGGGCAGGGACTGAACAAGAAGGGCCCAGGTTCCCTGGCAGCCAGTTCTCTCCCCGCTGCACACCAGGTGCTCCTGACTAAGCAGGACTGGGCACCACTCATGTCCTCTGCCCCTCCCCACCCTGTTCCCATCTCTCTTGCCCCAGACAGTGGAGAAGACAGTGGAACACCTGGAGGCCGAAGTGAAAAGCCTGCTGAGCCAGCTGGAGGGGCTGGCCTGGACCCTGCCCCCGGGGCCCTTCAGCCCGGTGCCCGACCTCCTGGGAGATGGTGAGCGCCTCAGGTGGCAGAGGTGACAGCCCTGAGCTGGGCAAGCAGGGTGGGATGGGTGCTCTGGTGTAGCCTGCACAGGCCAGGCCTCCAGCTCCTCCTCCGGACAGAAGTGGGCAGGGATTTCCCCCAGCTCACGCCGAGTGTTCTCGGCCCCCACCCGGGGTGGGTGCAGCCAGCATCCCATCAGGGTCCATGGGACACACTCCCCCCCTTCTCTCATCTCCCTTCCAGGGACCACTCCTGTGCCACCAGGAACCCTTTCCAGAAAGACCAGCGTCCCTCTGACGGGGCAGTGGAGGGGTTGCACCTGTTCCTCCTTGAGCCCTGTGTTCCCGGCACAGTTCCCGGGAGCGGGGGCGGGGCAGGGTGCCTTCAGCACCCCTCACTCTGAGCCACCCTGCCTTTCAGATCATCAGTGAGGCGGGAGGTGGAGAAGCCCAGCAGCTGGAAGTAATAGCCCTGCCCGACAGCTCTCCTCTGAGCCTTGCCTCTGGCCTTCCGTCCTCAGCTTTGTGCGAATAAAAGCTACTCCTCTGACCCCGCTGAAGAGTGGATCCTACAGCGGCAGCCCTTCTCCGCCTACCCCCATGCCCGGAGGCCCACATCCCCCTGGAGGCGCGGGCCTGGGCACCCCCAGCCGGCTGTGCTTCGGCAGGATTGTTCACTGAGGTGAGGCACCTGACGCGGAGAATCCTAAGATGACTCGGCGAAGGGCCCTTGTGGGAGCCTGGCTTCTCACAGAATGGGCTCCTCTGGTAGTTTGTCAAAAATGCGGAATTTGGGGCCCCAATCCAACCTCCTGAATCAGAATTTACATTTTAATGAGACCCACCAGGGGATTCCTGTGCCCTTTAATGTTTTAAAAGAGATTTCTACGGAGGTAAAACTCACCTAGCACAACCTTCAGAGTTGTAACCACGTTAAGCTGTACAAGTTCAGGGCCTTCGAAAGGTTGTGTCGTCGCCGCCTGGTTCCAGGGCATGCCCAGTAGCCCGGAAGGAAGCCCTGTCCCCACCAAGCATCGCTTCCTGTTCCCCTCCCGCCATCCCCTGGAAACCACTGACAGTTCTGTCTCTATAGACTTGCCTGTTCTGGACATTTTAAATAAACAGTCTCATACAACACGTGATCTTTCGTGCCTTTTTGTTTGTTTTTGTTTCACTTAGCCTGTTTTCAAGGTCCATCCGTGTTGTGCCGTGTCAGTCCTCCGCTCTCTTTTGGGTGGACACAGGCTTTCATTCCTGTTGGGTCTATAGCTCGGGATGGAATTGCCAATTCAAACAGTGACGCCGGCTGAAGTTCTGAAGAATCACCACGCGTTTTCGCCTCGCCCGCCGCTGGACCCTTGCACACTCCCGCCAGCAATGCTTGTGTGAGGATTTCAACGCGGCTGCATCCTCACCGTCTTTTTTTGCTACAGCCGTCACACTAGGTGTGCGGTGGTATTTCGTGGTGTTCGGTTGCATTAACCTAATGACTAGTGATCAGAGCACCTTTTCATGTGTTTGTTGACTGTTTTTATGTGTTTTTGTGCTGTTGTGTGGGGGTGTTTTGTTTTGTTTTTCCAGCAAAAAGCTTTATTGTTTCATTTGGTCCAATTCATGGGCGAGGGCTTCAGGGTGGTGAGAAGGATGCCTAACAGGCTCAGTCAGGCAGAGGTTTGGGCAAAAGCCAGACCCCAGGGGGATGCAGAGGGGCCCCTAAGGCCTCTGGGCCCAAAGGCTCCTCGCTGAGCTTGAGGGTGAGCCTTTGGAGGAGATACTCGCCCAGCCCAGCCCGGCCGCAGCCTGCGGAGGGGAGCCAGGTGCAGCCCATCTTGTTGGTGAGTCCCACCTGCTCAGCCAGGCGGTAGTTCACCAGGAAGTCACAGAACTGAGGTCTGCGGGTAGAACCCGGGCCTGAAGCTCCAAAGGCCTCGTTCAGATTCTTCTCCAAGGCCATGGCGGCTTCCCGAGTTACCCTCACGTGGGGAAGGCCCTGCCAGCCCTGGAGGAGGACGCGGCCACCGCGCCGGTTTTGCATCTTTAAGGGCCGCTCAGTGCCCTCTGCTTCTGTGCTGACCCGGGAAGAGGCGCCCACGGCCTCCGGAGCCACATCGTTGTGGTCAAAGTAGAAGCCCAGACAGAGGTAGGTGGGGAGGTTGAAGGGGGCGGGGGAGCCGCAGGTGCAGGCTGGCCAGTGGTTGACCGCAGCCTGCACCTCGGTGGAATAATTCTGACGAATCTGGGAGCTCATGGTTGTTCGGCAATGAGTTAAGGTGTGTGGCGTGTTGGCTGGTCTCGGAGGTGGTTCTGAAGGCGGTGACTATAGAGGCAGGAGAGTGGCTGGAGGCTGGAAGAAGGGGCGTCCCTGGGACTGTTGAAGCAGGAGACAGATCTGGGACGCCGAGGGCACTGCCTTTATGTGTGTGGTTTCATTTTTTCATTTTTAAAAATTTAAAATATATTTTTTAAATTTTTTCATTAAGGTATTATATGTGTACATATCTTACCATTGCCCCCCCACCCCACTCCCATACATGCCTCACCCCCCAGAATTTTGCGTCCATTGGTTATGCTTATATGCATGCACACAAGTCCTTCAGTTGATCTATTACCCCCACCTCTTCCTTACCTTCCCACTGTAATTTGACAGTCTGTCAATTTGATGCTTTACTGTCTCTGTATCTATCTTTTTGTTCATCAGTTTACAATTTTCTTTATTATCCATCAATGAGTGAGATCATGTGGTATTTCTCTTTCACTGACTGGCTTATTTCACTTAGCATAATGTTCTCCAATTCCATCCAGGTATGTGTGTGGTTTTAAATGCCTATTCAAGTATTTGAACATTTAAAAAATTAGGTTGCCTTTTGTTGTTATTAGAATTATGTTGTGGACACTAGGCTTTTATCAGATATATAATTTGCAAGTATTTTCTCCTAGTTTATGGGTGGTCTTTTTACTTTCTTGATGATGTTCTTTATCAAAAGTTTTAATTCTGATGAAGTCCAATTTGTTGTTGTTGCTTGTGTTTTTGGTGTCATGTTTAAGAATCCAGTGCCAAACCCAAGGTCATGGATGTTGTTTTCTTCTAAGATTTCTATAGTTTTAGGTCTTACATCTAGTTCTTTGATCTATTTTGAATTAATTTTTATATGTTATGTGAGGTAGGGATACAACCTCATTCCTTTGCTTGGGATACCTACTTGTCCCAGCACTGCTGCTGAAGGTGATATTCTTTCCTCATTGTGTGGTTCTGGGACCCTTATCAAAATCAATTGAGCAATTTAGGTTGATTTTTCAATTCTATCTCACTGTCTTTGTGCCTATCTTTATGCTAGTATCATACTATATAAATTACTGTAGATTTGCATCATGTTTTGAAATTAAGATGTATGGGTTCCCTTTCTTTGTTTTTTTCCAATATCATTTTGGCTATTTGGGGACCAGTCCTTTGCAAATCCATAGGATTTTTAGGGTCAGCTTATCCATACCTGCAAAAAGGCAATGGAATTTGATAGGGATTGGGCTGAATCTGTAGATAACTTGCAGAATACTGCCATGTCAACAATACTGTCTTCCAATCAATGAGCACAGGATGTTTTATATTTGTGTGTGTGTGTGTGTGTTGTTGTTTTTTTTTTTAAACTAAGTAACATTTTATTATTTAAAAGTATATGTTTGTTGTAGATCATTTGAAAAACACAAAGCTAAATATTTTTCCTAGAGAAACTCAGTTAATATCACAGTATATTTTCTTACTATGATTTTTTTTCTAATTTTACCTAAAAGTACAAAAGCATTTTTCCATGTCACTAAGTATTCTAAAATTATTACTTTAAAAAAGAGTTGCATAGTCGAAACTGGTTTCGCTCAGTGGATAGAGCATCCGTCAGTCTGCGGACTGAAAGGTCCCAGGTTCGATTCCAGTCAAGGGCATGCACATTGGTTGTGGTTACATTCCCAGTAGTGGGTGTGCAGGAGGCAGCTGGTCAATGACTCCCCCTCATCAACGTTTCTAGCTCTCTATCACTCTCCCTTCCTCTCTGTGGAAAATCCATAAAATATATATATATTTTTAAAAGGGTTGCATATATCATCAGCCCATAATAAATTTACTATATTTCAGTTTTTAATTACTTATAATTATGTTGCCTATTTATTACTATGAATAATGAACTTATGCACACATTTTAATATATGCCTGATTATTCCATTAAAGTAAATCCCTTTAAGTAGAATTACTGGGTCAGAAGTTATTATAAAAGTTTGTAACCTTTAAAGTTATTTTTATACAAAGAATAACGGACCAATAAAACACTGGTCAACTTATGTCCCAATCAGTAGTAAGAGAGTTCCTGCTTTCCTGGACTCTCAATATGAGGCATCATTATGAAAAACTTAGCCAACACAGACAGGTGATGAGGAGTAAACCCTTTAAACTTATATTTCTATGTTTATTAGTGAGTATAAAACATTTTTTCCATTTTTATTGGCCACTTGAACTCTTTATTTACTTCCTTTGCCCACTTTTCCACTGAAATGTACATTGGTTTATAAAAATTCTTTTTAAATTAAGGATATTAACTCTAACTGCATCCGATAAAGGAGTCACTGTTCATTGAACACTTGAAATGTGGCTACTCTAAACTAAGACGTACTGTAAGTGTAAGATACACACCGGACTTGAAAAATTTAGTACAAAAATAGAAATTAGATCTAGCAGGTTTGGTTCAGTAGACAGAGCATCGGCCTGCAGACTGAAGGGTTCTGGGTTCGATTCCGGTCAAGGGCACATGCCTGGGTTGTGAGCTCGAGCCCCAGTGGGGAGGCGTGCAGAAGGCGGCCCAATCAATGATTCCTTCTCATCATTGATGTTTCTATTTCTCTCTTCCTCTTCCTTCCTCTCTGAAAATCAATAAAAATATTTTTAAAAGATAATGAAAAATGTCAATAATTTTTATATTGATTACATTTTGAAATATTTTTAATATACTGGATAAAATATATTAAAGTTAATTTCACTTCTATTTTTTAAAATATGGATATCAGATAACTGAAAAATATATACATCGCTCACTTATTTCTTTTGGACAGTACAGATCTTGTATACTGTTTCCTTTCACCTTTAAATATTTTCACCTTTAAATAAACTTTAAATGTTAAGTTTGACAGGTATTTCTCATTTTAAGTATGCAAATGAAGCAATTGTTCCCCTCAAGTTTTCCTCCTCTCTTTACTCTTCATAAATTCTTCCCAATCCCATATTCTCCCACACAGGAATTTTATAAGCATAGACTAAACTTTATTTCTTGACAAAAAAGTATGTTTTTAGAATTTTTTCCCAAAAGTTCTTCAAATATTTTCTTCTTACACTTAAACAGTACTTTTTCTAAATGATTTTTAAGTTTTACCATAATTATAGTAGCCCTTTTAAAACAGTTTCAGTATGACTGAAACTAAATTTTCAGAAACAAGGTTATTTTAAAAACCCACTAAGTGTTTTTAAGTATGAAAACGTATTTTAATTTCTTAGTAATG